AAACCTTTGTTCTTAGGTCAGCTGTAAGACTGCAAGGAGAGCTCTCCAAGAGATGGAGAGGAGGACTGAATGTAATTAATTTCTCTCTCACTTGAAGCAGTACAGATGGCTGAATTGAAAATAGATTCTTTCGACTATGCCTCTGAAGGCCACAAAATTTCTGTCTTAATGAGGGAGAACAGGCAAGAGCTACTGACCACTGAAAAGACATTTGGAGAAACAATCGTTCTGTAAAATTCAGAATAAATTATGCTGCTTTAATACTCTCCACATAGCTACTCGAAGGTTTCTAATCTTTGAACATTTAAAAAACCATTCTTATCCCTGAAGAGATGGAGGAGCAGAGAGTTAGGGCAGTTGGTTTAAATTTCTTCCGGTCACCTGTATTGGTGGAATGGGATCCATGCCCAGCTTCCATTCCCATTTCCACTTCAAATTGGGTACCGTTTGTTCCTTCTCCATTAAGTGTCGTTCCTCACCTCTTCCCGTCGTTGTGCAGTTGTTGACTTAAAAAAAGCCTATTATTTTTCAAATATTTCACTATTAATGAGATTTACCTTAGAAGTTTGAATCAACTACTGATGTAGATTGTTGGTTGATGTTTTTTTTCTTTTCTTTCTTTGATCACTATTGTGATCAAAATATTTTGTCTTTTAAATCTACAAAAGGGTGGAAGATTCTCTTGGATAGGGACTCTCTAAGGGTGCCACAGAACATGTGAAGTTCTGTGCCAGCATCTTGCTATTTAAATAGTTGTTATTTGTGTGCTGACATTAAGAGGGATGGAAGAGTGGGCTGAGCTGCCAAGTCTTCTTTGAAGTTTAATTGTCTGTTTGGTAACAGAACACATAATCTTCCATTACAAATCTTATTTTATATGGTAATTGGCTCATTTGCTCTCTGGTTATCAATTTAACTTCTCTACCACACACATCTGTACTTGCATTGTATTAATCTGTGTGAATGCTAAACATTGACATAGTTAAACTATAAAACTGTATTTTTAAAGCATTTTTTAATTCATTAACTGGAAAGTAAATGATAATAAAGTGAGCACTTATACTCTTATCCCTTTGTAAGCAGCTTGGCAGTTATTCTGAAAGCCAAAAAGCAAAGTCACTTTGAAAAATAATGTGTTTCAAATTTTTAATCTCCTAAATTAAAACTATTTGAGAGCAGGTAGTAGGATATCTAGTTCAACTTTCATTTTTGTGGCAGAAAAATACTGACTCTTACGATTCAATATTAGTGCCCGCTTGTGGATGATGCCTCCAGTTAAAGCAATATGAGTTGCTGAAGATACTTGAGTGCTTTCCAGATGTCTTCATTACAAGTTAAAGGTGGTGGAGAAAACAGAAATAATCCCAGAATCTTACTTTGCACTAATTTTGTTTCAGATGGGATGGCCCATCAGTTCCGTTATGGTGCTCCTTCCTCCTCCTCATCCCATACTTATCTCTCAGCCTTTCTGATTAGTGATGGCCATTCCCAAACTACTATTTTGTTGTTCTCTGGTTCAATTTTGGGTTTGCTTTTCAAAAACAACCTGTTTTCTGCTAGGTGTCATGGAAATCTCTTACCCAGTAGGTGGATGTTGAGGGATGTCTGAACTGCTGGCAACACATTCAAAGAGGAAAGTATGGGAATACCGCTAGAGACATCTGTCTCCAAGAATTTGGGGTAGGATCCTCACATCATACAGTCTGTGTACACCGTGTGCACACTGAGGAGTAGGGACTTGCCCTTTCTAATGCTTCTTTTATTGAGGGCAGGTCTGCTGTGTCTCCTCTGTGATGCTCATCGTTTCCAAAATAAAAGGGTATCTAAGTATGCTTTTGAAAGAGGTAACCACTAAACACATAGAAGTAAATGGAAAATTGGATAAAAATGTGGTTTAATTAAAGGAAAATTGTATTGTAATACTTCTTTTCGTAGAGTAACTAACTTTGGCAAAGGCAGTCTTGAACCTGGAGCAGCTATTTTTTGTGTTGAGCCACTTGTGATTTTATTGAACTTCTATATCTCGTTTCTCATCCTTGAGTTTTACAGTGTAGCTACTCACTACAGCAATTTGCATGTATTCTGAGGTCATCAGTTTCTTTTTACACAAATTTTGTGCTTTTGACAGTGAATGCTACTGGCTTGTTTATTAGGATTCCTGTAATAAGTTTAATATATAGCCAAGGAATTAAATGTTAGCCTCTAAAGAATCTTACGAAAATAGGAGCTTTGTAAATTCACAGAAAAACTAACTTTTCATATTTCCAGTTTTGATGTTTCCTTTCTTTCAACTATGTAAGCACTTCAGGGATCGATATGTTTGTGTGCGTGTGTCTGTATACATACGGAGAAAGAGATTGAAAGGAAATGAGAACATAAAGTATCAGTCAGACTGGAACAAAATTACTCATTAGTTAAAAATGGCTAACGATGAGAGGGCAATGATCTATCACAGGCTGACATCGGTATGATGCATCTAGGAAAGGGCAAATACAGTAGTAGAATGAATTGGGCAAGATATTAGCTGTAGTGATAACACTGCATCTATGCCATTTTTCAAGTCGGTGCTGAGTCGCATCTGAAATTGCATGCGAATAATTGAAACTTTTCAGGCTACGCAGATTAATTCCAACTAGAGCAAATAGAGAGGGTCTGCGAGGAGGGTGTGGGGGACTTGTCATACCAGAACTAAGCAAACATGACTTGTTGAGCCTGCCAAAATAGAAGCTGGGATGTAGGAAGGGAGTGGAGAAACAGTGCAGATCATAATAAATAAAAAGGCCAAGGATAAATGCCAGGGAGGAATAAAAATAGAAAATAAAAGGCACTGTTTTCATAAAGAGTAAGTAATCGCAATTTGACCACAAATAAATTCAGAAGACGGTTTTCAAATGTCAGAATTCTATACAGTTATAGCAGCCATCTGATACAGAAAGTAAATACAGAAATAGCTAAGTCATTTTAAGGTGGTTTGTGATGGTTTTGTAGATTTATGGAAAGAAGATATGAAATAGATGTTTGAACTCAGGCAACTGGACTCAGCCCCATCCAGATTTTTGCTCCTATGTGAGAGATTTCAAGCAGTGAATGTATATGTACATCTTTATGTAGTTTCTGGTGTAGGGTAAAAAATGTTTGTCTGAGAGTTGAGCCATCTTACTCTATAAATAAATATTTCCATATGTTAATATTCTCTAATTTATAATCTGACACTTGAGGGATTTTTGGAGAGCTGCTTGTCTCCAGTTACCTGTTTTTAAAAACATTAAATCCCCCTATAAACCTCTACAGTCATCTCATAGGAAGAAATAAAAAGTGATCTAGTATTCCTTATTCCCCAGCATGAAATAAATCCCATTGAAAGGGGAAGCGTGTAAAATGTTTGACTAAACTCTGCAGCCCTTCCATATTGACTTTCTTTGATAAATATTAAAGGACAGAAGGCCACTTTTGACTTTCCTGGAATTTGAACAATCAAACCTGCCAACCTAAGTAAGCAAATCACCCTTATGTCGGTGAGTGTAATAAAAACAAATAAATAGGTGAATGTTCTTTGTAAGAGATGATACTCAAATTGTATATGCCTACAAAGAGCTCTTCTTTCTGCCCCAAAGCTAAAGCAGCGGAGAGTCCTTGTACACAGCTGGGTGCGTCTTAGTAGCACATTCATTCCCAGAAGATTATTAATGTGTCTGTGCATTGGATACTTTGAGACTTGTATTACCAAAAAATTCTGTATTTCTGAGTTTTTATGAATTTTAAGTAACTTTAATTAATCTTACTTTGAGTACATAAGGGCATTTAAAAAGGCAGCCAAGATCCAGAGAGAACACCTTTGGTACATGTCTTAATGAAGAACCTTTCTATTTTACTGTGTTATGAAATGCATGTCTTTGGCCATACATATCTGTAATACATTGTCAATATGATACAAAGGTACTTATGTAGTCCTGTACGTAATGTTTCTTGGACTTACACAAATCAGAGAAGAAAATGTTTGGATCAGTGCAGCACTGTCTATTTAATAAGCTGAATCTCTGCACGGAAACACAAGGCAATGATACCCTAGGAAAGTTTCATCTTAGTTTTGTGTCCATTAATTTTTAAAAGCCTTTTTTAATGTAATTTTAGCTTTTGGTTACCTACTCCATGAAGAATCTCTGGTGTATCAACTGAAGGATTTTATCTGAATAAATAAATTGTTGCTGATCATGATCCACCCTTACGTAAGGTAGCCTGGCTGCACTACCGCTGGTCCGTGTTTTACCGAGCTCCGGCTGGACTTACCGTGCACATGTAGACTGAAAAAGTTGTAGACAGCTGTCTTCATCATGGCCTGATTTTTTTAAATTTCAAATCTGACTTAAAATCTTTCCATTGTACAAATTAATGAGCTTTACTGCAGGAGGGGGAGAAGGCTTTTATATAACTTGGATTGTCTTGCTGGGAGCTTATCCGGCAAGATTCTTTATTTGTGAAAGGAGCATTAAACTAAGTGCTAAATGATTTGCTCAGATGAACTCTGAGTCATTGAAGGAAGAGTGTGAATGATGACTGAAATCCTCGTCGTGTGCACTGCCTGCTGTGGTCTCTTTGGCGTGCAGCACCATGCCTGCGGCAGATAAGAGACTGCAACATGTTCTTCAATCACAGAAGTATTTCTTTCCAAATGACATCTATGTCTCTTGGTTTTAAAATACTTTTTAACTTTATACATCTGAGTTTGATTTCTTCTTTCTTGTTTTCTCAAGAGGTCATTTCAAGTTAAAATGGCTGGCTGTTTAACTGGCCCAGATGTTCTTTTTGAAATAACACAGAGCTTGTATCAGCTTCTATCAAACCCTGATCTGAAAGTTTCTGCCAGTGTTCCTACTGTTTGTGCTAGCATCCTTGAAGCCATCTTCTATGTGTTGAGTCTTACTGTATGTTTGCGTACGAGCACAACTGATGTGTTTTTGTAGCTACTAACACCATCTTTTGTCTTTCCATTTTCTTTGAAGTTCCTCCTGAATTTCTGAAGCAACCTGCAAATATTTATGCTCATGAATCTATGGACATTGTGTTTGAGTGTGAGGTGACTGGCAAACCCACTCCAACTGTGAAATGGGTCAAGAATGGAGACATGGTGATCCCAAGTGACTACTTCAAAATTGTTGTAAGTATATTGACCCTTTTTCAGATTTTTAAGCTGTTGACTTGTCTGTTAGTCCTCTTGACCTGTCTGTTAGTCCTCTAACACATACACATGGAAGCTGGGTTCTTTTAGAGGACCAGCTTCCTATTTCCATAATAATTGATGTTTGGCTCTGGAAGAGAGATGTTTTTTTGAAACCTTTAATACTCTGTAAATTAATTGTTTTACTGAAACGCTAAGGCATGTTGCTTATATTGTAAAAAATCTATTTTTTAATAGCTTTGATTTTCCATGAGAGACAGACATGCACACACCCAGTGACAAAAACACACCTTGTTGGTTGGACCTGTTAAAGTGCAAGCTCGCTGTGAACACTGACTGTGTTTTCTGCAGCCATCAGTGATCAATTAAAATGACGATTTCCAGCAGGAGTTGAAATATAAATATAGCTGAGTTGTGGATCATGAGTTTTGGAGCACCAGTACTTGTACTGAGAAATTTTAGATGTAATGGAAATCATTATTAAGACACGGCTGAGAACTTAATGGTTGTATAATTGGGTATACCTGAGGTGGTAGGACTGTGAGCTATGCAGTTATATTCAGTGCTTAAAATACCATAAAAATGGCTGTGGAAATGTTATGACTTGCCAGTGATATGTGATGCTAGAAAATGATAGCCGTTAGTGGGAGCTTCTGCTGCTTTTCGGTACCGTGTAATTTGAGGATTCAATGCAAAACAGATTAAATCAGACAGGAACTCCAAATACAATTTTCCATGTTATTCTTCAGAAGTTTATCCTGTCATCATAATGTGCCATAGTAACACCATTGTTTTTGCAGTTGCAACTCATTTTTAAGTGTTATGTTTTTCCTTTACTCTTCAGAAAGAACATAATCTGCAAGTTTTGGGTCTGGTGAAGTCAGATGAAGGATTCTATCAGTGCATTGCAGAAAATGATGTTGGAAATGCACAGGCTGGAGCCCAGCTGATAATACTTGACCTTGGTAAGATAAACCCTGACAGTACGGTGCCAAAAGATGGGGAGGAACAATTTTGAGGGACCTTTTCCACATGATGTGTTCTATCTATAACTCAGAGTAGGCTGTTTTTTTTTTTTTTAAATCCTATCAGTGGTTCAGCGTCATCTTCTGTACACTTTCTTAGCAGAAATGAAGGAGTTCTATAGGATTCACCTTGTATTTTGGAAAATATGCAGAAAATACTTAGTTCAATAATAAACCATAGCCGGAAATCTGAAATATTGTTGCATGCTGAGATTCAATAAAAATAACAGGACAGCTGAAATGAAAACAATCACTGAAATGACAAAACTGAAAAAGAAGCATTTATGGAGCACACTGCAAATGAAGTATTTTACGTTGAACTCATTCCAGTGTCAGAAGCTTTTTTTCTACTATTAGTTTAAAAAGTAGCAAGCTTTGTCATTTCTGCAAACTGCAACTGCACTTTTTTTTTTTTTTATGGAGTTACAGCTGCAGTTTAAGATAAGTATTTGTTATTGTGCTCCAGTCAGTGGAATTACTAACAGTGCTCACCTTCTGGCAATGTCCTGCATCATGTATTTTGAATGTTAAAAGATAATAATTGCTGTTACGATTAAAGACCTAATATCTTCCACAAAAAAAAGGTAGTACAAATATAATTGCTAAGGTATCAGCTTGTTTTGCTCTTTCAGGACACACAGTTCTTAAAAATAATTTCTAAGAACCCAAGGAAGAAAGCCAATAGTAAGAGGGGTGAGAGGAGAGACAAGTCAGACAAGGAAATATTAATTCTGTACTTCTGGGGGCTTTTGTGTTGCCTGTCTTTTGGGGTGTTGTTTCAAAATTCTAATTTCTTTTTTATTTGGATGGAAAGGATTTAGGAGAGCCAGTCTTACGTATTGTCAGAGGCATGATGTAACCTCACACTTGCAATTTGGACAGACATGAATCTGCTAGAGCTGGTTTTGGTGTTCAACGTACAGAGAGTAAACTGTTACCAGCGTACCATAGAGAGAGATTATCCATTCTGACTGTTTTGTAGAGTAGTTGTGCCTTTGTAACTTCTGAATTCTCCTTTGGTATTGGTATGTTTCATTGCTGGCTGAAGAGATGCTTGTGCTTTCCAGAATAATTTGGGGAATAAAAGGTGCCCTCTTCTGGATTCAGCAGCTTTAATCCTAGAGAGCTGGGGGATTGCAGCCTCTGAGTAGTGTTAGGCATCTGGATCCAGCCATGGCCTACTGTCATCAGGTCACCAGAAAAATTATTAAAAGTAATTTCATTTGTGCTAGATGCATGAATCACCTGAGTAGTTTCCAAATCTTTCAAGCGGAAGCATTATTCCATATTTTCCACATTTGAAAAATACTGAATAATTAATGTATGTGGGTTTTGAAGTCCTGCCCAAGTTTATACTTTCACTCAGTTCCCAGTAGTGGTTTATAAATTACTATTACTGTTATTATTTCAGTTCCTGTGGTCTCACTCTTCTTCCTTTTCCTCCCCTGCTGTTTGTCCCGTGGTTTCTCCTTCCTGTTCTACTCTGGCAACCTGTCCTGTTATTCTAAAGGACTTTGCCTTATAATGCTGTCCTTTTTCTTTTGCATGCTGCCAAAGGATTATGGATGCAATGTTGATGGAGTCTCGTTCGGGTGTAAAGATACACCCAGAAGTCGTATCGTTCTGTTTTTAACAATGTGCTCCCTGTGTAACGCTGATGCTCTTTAGTTGTTGTTTTCCAACAGTAGAGATAATCACATGGTACATCACTGAAAGTGCATTTTATTTTTGTAGTTGTTGTTGTTGAGTAGTGGCCTAACAAGTAGAGCAACTAGAAATGAATGTGCTGTGTCTTAGACAGTTGTGATACATGAAAAAAAATATTTTAATGCCTCTTCACCATAGATGAACAGCAAAGAAGGAAGCAATATTCAGGGAAAATGAGTGAAGGTGTCATATATAGTAGTTCTTTCACGACACATATATTGGTGTGAAAATTAAAAACACTAATTTGAGCAAAAAGTATTCTGAACACTTCAATCATTAATTCAGAAAGCTTTCTTTTTTTAAAAAAATTTCATACTTGATGATGAGAAGTACCTACTTTGCCAATTTGAAAAGTAATTTCAGTGCAAAAATGTTGGTTAAGTGTTCATCGAAGTTCTTCCCAATAGCAGCATGTCCCTTCCCTTACTGTTCTGTTTTCTCCTTCCTAAATGGAATTGGCAAACATCTGGCTATTTACAAACTATTTCCAGTTAGGTCTTTTGGTTATTAAATCAAATTTATCTTTAATAAATTAAATTTTAATTAGAAAGTAGAAACCTTATGGAGTTTCTCAGAGAGGCTGCATGCATTCTTTATGGGCCAGTGTTGAAGAAATGGACTAAGAGTATTGTGTGGGCATCTATAAATGGACTACAGCATTGATTGTGGTATAGTTAACAATGAGGAAGGGGGTAGTTTGCTGCCATCAGAGATGACTTGGAGTTGTTGGCAAAGGTAGAGTTACTCAGACTTTGAGGGAGGTAACACTCACTACTCTTTGAGGGAGATAACACTCACTTCTCTTTGCGGGAGAAAGGTTAAGTAGAAATAAACCAATAAAACTGTTTGTATTTTACATATTAGATCAGAATTTAGTTGTCTCTTCTGTGCATTCTGCACATTTTACGATTGGACTCAGTGATCTTAAAGGTCTTTTCCAACCAAAACGAATCTATGATTCCATGGTTAACTTGTTTCAGTCTAAACCCTTTGTATGGAAATTGTCCAGTGTGTTGGGTTTTGCTGCCTAGAACAACAGTTCCATCCATAGCTTTATTGAGGTGTGCTGTAAGGGTTTTTGAGCGGTCTGAAAGTCAAACACCCTATTTTCTTCAGTCTTAGATGATAATATAATTTTTAAATACAATAGGTGTAAAGTCTACAGTACGATGATCTGCTACCACAAAAGGTTTTCTGTATTTGGACATAGATTTCTGACTTTGCAGGAAGCAGTAGTTTAGTGATTTGCTTTTTCTTCTGTGCAGTGACAGTTTTCGTTCGTAAATGTATGTGAGTGTACGTTGGGTATAGCCACACCAACCAGTATATATGCAGGCTCTCATCTGCTAGAATAAACTTTATATGATTGTTGATCAGACATAAGTTTCGTTTGGGTTGGTCTCTCTTGTATTTGGGGTGAATTCTGAAAAGCTTGAATATATATGGACGTTATTTGTGGAAAATATTAAAATGAAGAATTGACTGGCTGAAAAAATAGGGTCGTTTGAAGGCTTATTGGAGTGGTTTTTTATTTTCCAATTCTGTAATTCTCTGTTAATAAATGTAGAAAAGACGACTGCATTTGGAAATGGATTGGCTCTACAGAGTCCACAACTTTGGCTTTTTCTGGAATATATAGAAGAATTGTGGCATTGAGAGATTGTAGGACAACTCTTTGTAATTGAGAAGGTTGAAAGGAGGAGAGGGAGTATGATTTGGGTAAATGATCTGAGTTAAATAATCATCTCCTAATACCTCTTGTACTTAACTTCAGGTGTAGAATTCTGCAAGAGAGTTGAAAAGCATCCAATCTGCTTTTCAAATACTTTGAAATTTGAAATTGTGTCCTTGTTTCTTGACAGTGGCCTCCCCCTGGAGACTAAGTACCTTTGGGAATTTCAGTGGAGTTGTGGCTCTGCTGCCTGGTCTGAATTTAAGAACTACCTAAAGAAAGGGAAGTACCTCAATTACCACGTTCCTCTGCCAGCATTTGGCAGTCTTGATGCTCCTCTCTCTGTCTTACTGATTAAGAGATAGACGGTCTTTTCTTATTTCCTTCAAATGCCACCACGAAGGACTCCTACTTATCCCAGTGAGAAGGAAGAACCTTAGTTGTGTCTTGGGAATTACTATCTCAACAACCTCAAAATCTATTCTCCCTCCTTTTTTTACACAAAACCAGCCTTTTTTACTTAGAATTAGATCCTGATGGATCAACCTCCGACCATCTCAATTATGGATCAGGTATACTAATGTGGTCAATTAGAACAAAGCTATTTCTTGTCATCATTTTTTCCAGCATTATTTTGTGTGGTCTGTAACCTCGGTAATGGGTACATTTGAGTTTTCTTTGTGGAGGTTAAACGCTAGTGACAAGACTGAAAAATTCAGCCAGGACCTGGAACTGGGCCTTTTCCAGTGTATCTGGCATTCCTCAGAATTGCCATTTGGGGACTGTAAAAAGCACAGGTGGTAGTGAGTAAAAGGAGGCAGATGGTCCCCTGTCACCCCTGTGTGACAGGCATTTGACAAGTACTCGGGCCAAAAAAAAAAAAAAAAGGAGTGATTATTGAATGCTGTATAAAGAAAAATCGTAGACTGTAAACAAATATGCTGTGTTATTTAGAGAACAATTTCAGAACATTATTTGAGATGCACTGTATCACCTTCCAAATTCCCAAGTGTCATATACTGCGTGATTTTTGTCCTTCTTTGCTGCAAAAGTTAGTGTTTGCTGTTCTGTACCATCCTTGTGAGTTGTATAGGAGAGAGATCTTGAAGTGAATCAATTGAATGCGCTGCTGGTATCCAGTAGAACCCCATGTCAGGATTTTTTGTGGTGGAACTATCTGTTTCTTTAAACTTAAATTTTTCATGAAAAATAGTTTATATCCAAGCAAGGATATCCTGTATGTGAATTAATATCACCAGCATGGGAAACAAGGAGGAGGAATTAGAAATCTGCATGTGGTTGCAGAGCAGGGAGACCTTTGGGATTGCAGAGACATCTTGGGATAGCTCCAAGGGATGGATACAGGCTCTTTGGGAAGGATGGGGTGGGGAAGCAAGGAAGAGGGTTGACTTGAATGCACGTAACTTTGTCTTGAAGAGGGTGATGAGCCAGCCGAGCGCTTAAGGCAATGATCAGAGGATGGAAGGACAACGTTGTCGTGTGTGTCTGCTGGAGACCAACTAATCAAGGGGAAGAAGTAGATGAAGCCTTCTTTACACAA